TTTTTTTAATATTTTAAAATAATAAGTTTTATTTTTTATTTCTAAAAGCGTAGCAAATAAACTAAATAAAAAAGTTAAACTTTATACAATATTAGTTTTAAAAATCTACACAACCATTTATAGGCCAAAAAGGAACAATAATAATAATTTATTGAAATTTTTTACAGATAAATTTCGATATTCTACACATACGTCAGATTCTTACACTTATCATAAAGTATCGATAATTTAATAACATTTAACATGAAAACAAAGAAACGAGTTTTTAAAAAAATAACAATTAATAAATTATAAAAGATTTGGTCTTAATAATAAAACATTTTTACATTAAATTTAGTAGTTTTATAGGATCAAGTCTTCAAAGTTTCCCGTTTGAAAAAAACAATTTTATAATTTAATGAAAGATAAAATTTTTTCAGCAGCATGCTGCTCTCTAAAGATTAATTCGAAAAAAATTGCCTTTCTTTAAGCTCTAATTACTCCATTTTTTACTTATATTTACACCTTAAGCTTATTTTATAAGATTCTACGTGCTGACTATTCATGCCAGCAATAGGATCTAAAAAATTGTATTTATGAAAAACAGTGTAATAATCATAATCATCTGAGTTAGATAAGCTTCTACAAGCTTTCCATTCATCAGAGCGTTATATACTTCCGGTCTTAACAATAGAATTTATTATAGGAATAAAAGTGCTTGGAGATCTAGATTCTAAAATAGTAGCATATCCTAATGCAGGTTTATATGATTGTTTACAACACAGAAACACCAACGGTCCTGTGAGGATTTACCTCTATGACCATTAACATCATAATTCAACTTGGTTTCATATATATGCCCAATAATATAAACAAATTTTAGTTTAATAGAATTGTCGGTGAAGAATAAAGCAATTCGTTCGATGTAAAGCTTTACAGCTTCTTTAGAAGTTTTCTCAATACCCGAATGTTCAATAATTTTAGAATAGTTATCACCATACGCATAGTGATAATTTGCTTTTAGTATTGTTTTAATATCATCTTTAAAAGAAAAAAGCCAAGAATCGAACTGCAAAGAGATAATTGTCCGATAGTAACAACAACCGTAAAAGCACGATCTCAATTCAAACTTATCAGAAATTTTGAATTATGACATGAGGAGCATACATTAACAAACTTACAGATCTGTTTATCTCCAATTAAATTCTATACAAACAATAAAGTTAAAAATTCGTTTTCATCTGCTATAATTATTAGATCTTATTCTTTTTCTCTCATCAATAAATTTAAGGATAAAAATTTAAAAAAATTAATTATACTGTATGTAAGAACCCCTGTTATTGAGGTTAAATTTTATAACAATATATAACATCCCGAACCAAGCAATTAGGCTTATATCTCTCTACAATTTTCTTATAGCTTTCAGATAATAATGTCTTTTCTTCATCAGTCTTTCATTCTTTAATCTTACCATATACTAATCTCCAGGATATCTCTCAACAACTTTCCTTTTGTCTATAACCCTTCCTTTAGTATACCTGCTACACTTAAGCAGATTTTCATTTTTAGAAATGGTCACCCTCCTACTTTTCTCAAATTTCTCGCAAAAACGATTCTCAAAATATTTGACACAT